TCTCTGTTTTCTTTGTGTTTGTCTGGTTTGGTCTCCATCAAATCCCCAGGACTCCTTGTCTCTCAGTGCATGATTAAGAGAGAGACCAGTAGAATAGCCTAGAAGTTCAGTGTGCACAGCGGGCTTATGTGATGCACCCCACTTTAGATGGGGGTCCTGAGCTGGCTTTTCCCTGGAGCACTACCATAGACGGATATGTTGAAATCCTAACCCTCAAAGTGGTGGTATTTGGAGGTGGGGCGTTTGGGAGGTGATTAGGTCATGAGGGTAGAGCCCTCAGGAGTGGGATTAGTCCGCTAAGACAAGAGACTTCAGAGAGGTCCCTCCTCCTTCCTGCCGTGTTCGGACACAGCAAAAAGATAGCCATCGTGAGCCAGCAAGTGGGGCACTCACCAAGCAGTGAATCTGGGGCCCCTTGATCTTGGACTTCCAGCCTCCAGAACTGTGAAAAATACATTTCTGTTGTTGTTATTGTTTTTGAAGATTTTATTTATTTATTTGAGAGAGAGAGAGCACAAGACAGGCGGGGAGGGTCAGAGGGAGAAGCAGACTCCCCAGTGAGCAGAGAGCCTGATACGGGGCCATCCCATGACCCCAGGATCATGACCTGAGCTGAGGGCAGATGCTTAACCAACTGAGGCACCCAGGCGCCCCAAATTTCTCTTGTTTATAAGCCACCCAGTCTAGGGTATTTTGTTATAGCAGCCCAGATGGATGAAGCCAGGCACCTCCAATGTATCTGAGGTCTTCTCTCTGGGGACTTCTCCCTGAGGAGGTGGCACTTTACTACCTACATCTGGGAACAGAGATTTGGGATGGGGCTGCACAGACAGACTCAGACAGACTTTCAGACCGTCCCTCTCTTTTTAGGCACTCTCTTCAGCTCCAACCTCATGGTGCCTGTGTCCGCATGACTGATGTCTCTACCGTGTCCTCAAGAGACGAAGCTCTAGCCTCTTCCCAGGGCATAGCCTGGCTGTGTGGGCTGGGGAGAGGAAGTCTGAGTTTTCCATGTACAGATTTCCAGCCAGCACGCCGCGTCCCCCAATGCCGCCTCTGCCGTTTTCAGTCCAGGATTCACCCAGTCCTGAGACTGGGTCCTGGCGTGCCTCAGTAACCCCCTTTGCTGGCTTTGAGGTGGCAGCTTCCCTCATTCTGCCAAGCCCTTTGTCTACTTGCCATCTTCAAAATCTGCTCGTCATTTCTCATCTGCTGAGGCTTCCTCTCCCTTCTCTTTGTCCTTGAGAATTCATACCTTTCTGTTCCTTTGGTGTCTTTTGTAAGGGGCTTTGGGAGGGAGCAGACAGCCATGTGTCCAAAGCGGTCCTTTTTAAACGTTTTGTGAAGGTAATACACCGAAGGGACAGTTGTTAAGACTATTTTGCACAGCTTTCAAGAAAACAGAAGCAGGGCGCCTGGGTGGCTCAGTTGGTTACGCGACTGCCTTCGGCTCAGGTCATGATCCTCGAGTCCTGGGATCGAGTCCCACATCGGGCTTCCTGCTCAGCAGGGAGTCTGCTTCTCCCTCTGACCCTCACCCCTCTCATTCTCTCTCTGTCATTCTCTCTCTCTCAAAAATAAATAAAATTAAAAAAAAAAATTAAAAAAAAAAAAAAAACCAGAAGCAAACAAAACCTGAGAAGGTGATGAAGGAGGGGCTGTGTGTCCTGCTCTGAGCCAAGCACGGAGACGCGCCAGGCTCTGATGGCTTTAAAATGGAAGCAGGCACTGAAGGGAGGAAGGCCGGGTTAGCTCTCCCTGGACTTGCTGCCCGTCACGCCCCGTGACCAAGTCTGGACTGTGGAGGCCAATTCCGGAGAGAGGAGGAGTCAACACGGGCAAAATTCAGATGCCCGGCCCTTGACAGGAGCTTAGAGGGGAGAAGGCCTGCTCCGGGCATCAGTGACCTCACCGGTTTTGTTATTAAAGCTGGAGAGGGATTGGAGGGGGACTGGCTTGGGATCACACTGGCTGCTAGCCCTGCTTCCCAAGACAAATCATGCAGGGAAAGGGGTAGCCTGACACACAGAGGGGCTGTTGAGAAAGGAACGACCGCAGTGTATAGGGAGACTGTGGTGTTTGGAGTGAGAATGTGGGGGCCAGCCTCTCGGCCCTGGAACTTTTCTGCCATATGACCTTGGGCATGCCACTTACCCTCCCCCAGCCTCAGTTTCTCTCTCTTTCTTTGTTTCTTTGAAAGAGTTTATCCACCTATTTGAGAGAGAGAGACCAGGGGGAGGGGCAGAGGGAGAGGGAGAAGCAGACTCCCCATTGAGCAGGGAGCGCGATGCGGGGCTCAATCCCAGGACCCTGGGATCATGACCTGAGCTGAAGGCGGATGCCCAACCAACTGAGCCACCCAGGTGCCCCACGGTTTTTCTCTTTTGTCCAGTGGGAATAATATTGCCCACCTCATGCAGTTGTTGTGAGGATGAAATGGGGCAGCTTAGCACACCGCAGGTACTCCAACATTTCTTGTTCATATATGAAGGGTGCTACTAGAGGCAGAAACGTTCCTGCCCCCTTCTTTTCCACAGGGTTGTGAAACCAGCTCCCTGCTAGTCTAACAGACTTCCCAAAAGGGGTGGAACTTGGGAAGAGACCCTCCCACTTCCCCTTCCTCCAGTGAGGGATGTCCAGGCCTTCCTGATTATTTGTCCCTTGGGGACTGTCTGGACATCCCAGGAAGGAGTGGGTTTGAGTGCCCCTAGCTAGCCTTACCTCCATGTCTTTGGGCTCCCGTGCCCTCGCTAGCTGAACTCACCCAGAAAGTCTGGAGAGGCAGATGGGAGCCTCTGGGGCCGGGAATGTGTATAATCCCTCACAGCCTCCAACCGGCATTGAACCTTCCCTCCAATCTAGGGAGCAGAGTCAGGCTGAGAGACCCATGAAACCAAAGATCTCTTTGTCCCAAGATACGGGGCCAAGAACTGGAAAGAGTCTTCCAGGCAGCAGTCCTGGGGCAAGAAGCAGGGGACCAGCTTCCCTCCTGCTGCCTGCTGAAGCGGGGCCTCTAGATCAACCAAAACAGACATCCTGGAGGGCACTTGATAAAGCCTGAAATGTGGTTAGAGGGGCCCACACCACACACAGGGCCACACAGACATGTGTGTATGAATATGCACGTAGTTCTCATATTTACTCCTTACATGCGCCCTCTCCCACACAGACAGGCTTGCTTCTTGTAAGAGAGAACCCGCTCCCTGAAGCAGCACGTGCGCGCGCGCACGCACACACACACGTGCTCATATCTCCTATCTGCCTAAACTTAAGGCTGTGAGGAAGGATTGGGGGGGGTGTCTCGGGGAATTTTGTAAAACTGGGCTGCCTAAGAGCACATTTCAGAGACCCCTTCAGCCTCTTCCCACCCAGTCTTCATCAGAGAAAGGGTTGGGTCAGAGAGTAGAATAATTCACTTCTCAGATAAGGGCTGAGTTTATGACTCCTCTCCCAGAGGCACAGAGACGCACCCTAGGCTGTTTGGGGGAGGAATTGCCTTCTAGATATCAACAGCATCCCCCTGTCATGCCACGCTAGGACATGAACTCACAGCAGTAGCAATAATTTGAAAGATCCTGGAAGACGGTTTCAGGGTAGAGATGGGGGTGGGGCAGGTTGTCCTGTTCCCATGGCAGCCTATCTCATTGCCATAGCAACACGTCCGCCTTCATTCAGTGGAGTCCTGCTTTCTGTAATGGGTGGAACACTGTGGCGCTCCACAGGATGGCGGTGGCCCCATAATCCTTCTGGGAAAGAACATTTCCATCCTAGACCAAGCAGGGTAGGAGTAGCTGCAGGCTGCCAAATAGGGCCGGGTTTTCCTGTGGGCAGAGGGGTGGATTTCCTCTCAGTTTCCCTCCCAACAAGCCTCTACTTCTTACTAGAGCAACCAACGCTCCAGCTCTTGGGGGCCTCCAAGAATGTCCCCACAAGCAGACTGACCTTTCCTGATGTCCAGCACGGCTGACTCAGATGGAAACCCTTCCCTCTCAGGCGTGACAGTGAAGCCGGGGAGCCAGGTGCTGGTGTTGGGAGCCTGATGAGGCTCACTGTTCATTGGCTGTGTGCCTTCAGGGAGTTCTGTATCTTTCTGACCCTCAGGGTTCTCACCTGTGAAAATGGGGCTACCACAAGCCCAGCCCTCTGTGTGAGTCCAAGGATGCAGAAAAGAGATACACGTCAAGAATGGGACCCATCCAGGGCTTTCCCTGGGGGAGGGGGATGGACAGCCCGAGGGCACTGCTGACACCCCCTCGCATGCAGAGTGGGGCATCAGGACCTTGGGTCTGAGCACCCCAGCAGCGGTCTGACTGTGCGGCTGCAGTGATCTTTAAACTTCGGTGGACAGGGGGAGTGGTTGGCATCGTCTTCCTGATCAAGCTGTCCAACTGGCAGTAAGCTTCCCTTGGAAAGGGAAATGTGCTGATGCTGTCTCCCCCTGGCCTAGATCAGGGCTACTCAGAGCGTGGGCCATGGCTCATGCCTCTCTGCAAAATGTTGTAACCTGTGGGCAATGAGAGAAGTCTAGGAGTGAAGAGGACAGCTTCAGAAATTTTAACAGAAATTTGATATTGCTGAAACACCAAAGCAGCATCCAGTCTGGGTTTCTCTAGTTATTTTGAAATTTTTCAGTTTTTTTAGTGATTCACTGTGTGTGTGTTTGTAAGTATCGATCTGCCCCAGATTGGGGAAAAACAGTCTGGTCCCTCACATCTCCAGTTTGAAAAGCACCGTGATCTGTGCTTGATAACACTAAAAGCTATCTTAAAACCAGCAAAAGCTTCAAGTGAAGAGAAGGAAAACAATCTCATCTGCGCTGCTTGCAAAAATTAGCCACAAATCACTCCAGGGTGTGCCGGCAGCATTCCCTTTATTACTTCAGGACAGAAACCCCAGTCCCCCTCCCACTGCCCTACCCCCTACCCCCGCACCAACCCCGCAAGCCCGGTTCCCTAGCCCGGGTTTGAAGTTTGAAGTTCACGGCCCCCAGCACCTCACGCTCAGCCACGCCCGGCGCCGCCGCGGAGCCTTGCGGGAGGCGCAGTCTGCCGCTTGCCGTAGCGCAGGCCGAAGGAGTTCCAGTTGTAGGCGGACAGGTCCCTTTCCCGCGGCACCAGCACCGCGCCCCGGGGGGCGGGCATCAGGCGGCTGCGGGGGGCGCACAGTCCTGGCTGCTGGGGCCCCGCGGGGCTCTTGGGAGGCGGGCACAGCGAGGCCTCCCGCGGGCTGAGCCGGGCCCCGGCGGGCTTCCTGTCTGCGCAGCGCCGGCTCTGCTCCCAGGGGGCCAGGAGGGCCTGGGGTCCGAGCCGCTGGCCTAGGACAGAGCCAGAGAGAGAGGCTGCGGTGAGGCCAGGGCCCAGGAGAGACGGCTTTGGAACACCGGCTCACATTCCTATCCTGTGCTTGCTTCCCTTTCCTTCCTTGTCCTCTAGGAAGCCCAGAGCCCAAAGCGGGGCACCACCCGCAGGAGGGTCTTAGCTCAGGTGATGGTTAGGTCATTGGCTCCTCTCTCTTTACATAGCTTTGGTTGCAAAGGTTTTCCAGGAGGATCTTAAACATCTTTTATTTCAAATTACTTCCTTTTTGGAAGCAAACAGGGTAGAGCTTGGAAATAAGCCTGCAGTACTTGCTGTCTCTGCATCAGGCTCCCCCACGGGACTGAGCTCCTGGGGGCAGGTGGGAGCCATGTTCATTCAGCTCTATCTCTTGAGTGCTTGAAACGGTGACCTGCATGCAGTGGGGCCTCAAATGCTTGTTAAATATATAAAAGCGAGTGAACAGCCTGTAGTTACAGAAACAAGAGTAGAACTAGGACCACTCTGCGTCCCCAATTACTGTGACCACTAATAAGCTACAGGAAGACTCAGTGAAGAATGGGAAATTATCTGGGTCACCTTAACCTGCTCACCTCCCCCCACTGTAGGTATAATCTCTCCCCTGCACGCTGAGGGCTAACAAGGCTAATTTGAATGCGTTTCACATGCAAAAGGCTTGTTAAGTTCACTCTAATTTTTGGCAGTAAAATAGTGCAACTAGCTCTGAGTAGACCAGAACCCCAGCCAATTGTGGCATAAGATTAGTGGAAATGAGGCCTGGTGTGTGAGTGGATGTGTGTTGAGGGGGGTAGTTGGCTTTGGGCCCTGCTCTTCAATGCCTTGGCAGACTTTGGAGACGGGGAGTGTGGGCGTGGTTCAGAGTTAATGCTAATCTTCCTAGAATGCCCCTCCCACCTTGCTTAGGGCCTGGTTGAGGCAGGGAGGGATGATGGCTTCCTTCCCGCTTAAGCCCATCATCCCTGCAGTAGGATAACCTCTCAGGCTATTGTTTGTGGCCTCACCTAAAGCCATTTGCTGACCAGCAGGTCAGTGTCCCTGGGGCTGCGGCGAGGTTATTCTCTGGGGGAGCCTCCCTCAGCCAGAAAGAATACCTGATCCCAGGAGAGAAGACACTGTTGGTCAAGGACACCCGGGGGCATATTCTCTTTGCTTTGGGACATTTTATGGGCTTGATGCTATCCTCTGCGTAGAGGGTACGCTCCGAGTTCCATAGCCAGAACCGCAGGCCGGAGAGGCTAAGCCATGTGCTAGTTTGCCCAGGAAACTGACCACCAAGCAGTGTTAAACCCACAACTCCTGTCTCGGGGACTTCAGGGACTGGCTTGTGCCCCTCAGAGACACACTCTTGGCAGCTGCTGCACCTGCTGGGCTGCTGCAGCATTTGGCTGACTTTGGGGGGGTGGTTCTTTACCTCTTTGGGCCTCAGTTTCTCTAGCGAATCAGTTGCACATTGAACTCATAAGGTTGACAGGTATTAAGGATCTGTCCTTTTGTTTAAGTCTTTTTTCTTTTTTTCCAGATTCCCCACAAAGTGTCTGAGATCACTGATGAAAGAAACTTACATAGTAAATTTCTTCCCAATGGATCTGCTCAGACAGGTGGTTGGCTTAGAGCAGAGAACACAGTGTGAGAAGACCATGAAGGAGCTCAGTGGTGAACAAGCACCTGAACCTAGGTGAGCCTACTGATGCCCATAAAGAGCAGTAAGCCATCCCTTACTTGCAAGATTCACGGGGCCCCCAAATAAGTTGCATGTGCTAGTCTTAGGTTCCGATTTAATGCTGTGTGAAACTCACATCGATAGACTAGCCTCACTGAAAAATATGTGACTCTCATTTTGCAACAACTCCCACCCTTCTTTCCCAGACAAAGCATACCTGTCGGTCTAGGATTCTCCATGGGTGCCATCTTTTCAAATGTCTCCCTGAAGGAGGAGGCACAGAGGAAAAGCATCAGCTGCCAAGAAACCAGTGAATTCATCGTGGTGAGAAGGCACAGGTCCTGGCAGTGTCCTGAGGCTGAGACAGAGGGAGGGGGAGAGGGACTAAGCCAGGTGCACGGTGTGTCCTGGGTGCTGGGGCAGAGCCCAGCGTGACCAGAAGAGCCCTTGAGTGAGGGGCAGTGTGGCAATGAGGGCCTTGGGGGTAGGGGGTGAAGTCAAGCAGGGCAAGGAGCTCCACTGAGTGGAGCGCCCTGAGGTCCGGACAGTCTCTGGAGCCTAGGAGCTCCGTGCTGGGCTTGCTGTGCCCAACTCTCCCGTTAGACTGCGCCTTCCCGAACCTGGCCCAGCTCCCTCCTGCGGCAACAGGGACTTCATTCCCTTTGTTTTTCAAGAAAAAAGGAAGAAAGAGGCAATCATCTTGTTCTCATAACCCTTCACAGCCTTGAGGACTGTCACTAAATTGTCTCATTGTCTGTAATACAAAGAAGAGAAAAAACTTTCCCTGATTCATCGGGTCAATTTTCTCCTTATTCTATTCTTCGTGGGCTCCAAGAAGATATGAATTGGATTGACCTCCTGATTTTGGCCGCTGAGATGGGAGCTGTGTACCCTGACCCTCGCTACACCCCCTTTGCCTTCCACCCCAGCCCTTCCAGCTCTCAAGTTGAATTTGTCTTTGAAAAAGCCATCAGGCACTTTGAGATTGTCCAACAAACATGAGTAAAGACAAACTGGTGGGGAGGCAGGTCCAAAGGCTGGACAGAAAGGGTGTTGGCCAGAGCCTCTGTGGTCCAGGGGGGCAAGTGGGAGGGGCAGGGCTCTCAGTGGTGCCCATGGGCTGCTAATGGTTGCTCAGCCCTGTCCATACCTGTGTTCTTGCCCCACCCCCATTCCTCTCCAGGACCTGGGCACCGGGCAGAGAGGAAGACTCCTGAATGGGATCAAGAACACTTGGGTCTGGGCGCGCCTGGGTGGCTCAGTCGTTAAGCGTCTGCTTTCGGCTCAGGTCATGATCCCAGAGTCCTGGGATCGAGCCCCGCATCGGGCTCCCTGCTCTGCGGGAAACCTGTTTCTCCCTCTCCCTCTCCCCCTGCTTGTGTTCCCTCTCTCACTGTGTCTCTGTCAAATAAAATAAATAAAATCTTAAAAAAAAAAAGGACACTCAAGTCTGGCCCCAGCTCTGCCCCACTCCCTGTGGGGCGTGAGCAAGTTACCCCCATCTCTGGACCATATTGCTCCTCTGTGAAATAAGAGCATTGTATCAGACTGGTCACTGACTAACCCTTCAGTCGTTTTTCCTTACAGACTGATTCTGTGACACTCTGAAACCCAGACAAGTCTTTTGGCACCTGCTCTAAAGAGGAGAGGCAGGATCAGTTCATTAGAGAGAGCAGTGGAAAACCGTTTCTTTTATGGCTTCAAACCGTGGATGCACAGAGTCCAGGTTAGCTCAGAGATCATACCTGATCACAGCACCAGCTAGGTGCTGTGCTAGATGCTAGGGGGGGCACAGGTGTGCTAAGACCCAGGGTTGCTTGTTTCCAGCCCTTCCCCAAGATCAAGCTCAAGAAATTGAGCCATCTAAGCCGACTATTTCAAAATAACACCGGAAATGATAGGCTGGGGGAGTGTGGGTACCCAGGGAGCTGTGGGAGCCCGTGGGAGCTCACCCTGGAGCGGGGCAGGCGTGTTTTCCCCGAGGCGGGGAGTGGTTCCGGAGCTGAGTTTCTGAGCACGGATCAGCCGCGTGAATACAGGATTAAGGAAGGCATTTCCAGCAGGGGGCGCTGGAGCTGGGCAGCAGGGGCGGGGCGGGGCGGGGCGGGGCCCGGCCCACAGGCCCTCCAGGCTGCCGGGAGCGCAGAGCTTTGCTGGAGAGAGACAGTGGTGAGGCTGGAGGAGGGACACGGCGGGACTTTATCCCCGAGTAGACTGAGCCTGAGGGGGGGCATGTGTGTTGCATTTCAGATGGAGCATTCTGGCTGCTCTGTAGGAGCAGGGCGGTGAGTGGGGAAGGTGGGGGGTGGGCAGGCTGTGTGGTTAGGTAAGGGTTCCTTCTTCCAAGCTCCTCCCACCCGTAGCACCTCCTCCTCCTCATAGATAGCACTTAGCACCTGGCCAGGTGAGAACGCACACACACACCCTGCACCCAACACACACACACACACACACCCTGCACCCAACTCTCAGTTCACTTCCCAGGTGAGAATGAACACACACACCCTGCACCCAACTCTCAGTTCACTTCCCAGGTGAGAACGAACACACACACCCTGCACCCCCCAACACACACACACACACACACACACACACACACACACACCCTGCACCCAACTCTCAGTTCACTTCCCAGGTGAGAACGAACACACACACCCTGCACCCCCCAACACACACACACACACACACACACACACACACACACACACCCTGCACCCAACTCTCAGTTCACTTCCCAGCACAGAAGCATTTAACACATGTGGTAGAGTTGAATTGTTTGGAAGAGAACAGCTTTCACGGGGCCTGGAGAGGCTGACCTGCTGTGGGCAATTTTTGTGCCCTCGCCCCAGGCTTTATACCTAGTGGGTAATAGATTCCAGGAGTGGTGGGAAGGCTTTTGAAGTGAGGTGGCTTCCTTCCAGGAATAACCCGCAGTTCTTAGTGCAGGGGGCTAGCAGGGCGCGTAGAGGCTCTTTGGTTAGGTTTGTACTTGCCATCCATACGTTGGGGGAAAGGCTTGGAGGAGTCCTATGGAGCCCCTGAGCCCTGAGGGGTTCCCCAGCCCCCTCCAAAAGCTTCTGTGGCCTCTCATCCCAGCAAGAGCTCGCTCACTGCTTTTATTCCTTCCACAGTGAGGGATTCTCCAAGGTCCTGGTTTCAAAAATGCGAGTCAGGGTATTCACTGAGACATCCCAGAATCATCTGGCCAACCTGATAATCAGGAAAGATCAGCGCCCCCTTTGCCAGCCAGGGATATGTCTTGTCAATCTTAGAAGGAAATTCCTGCTCCTCGGTGGGGATCCTCCCTGGGGCTAGGCAGACCCCTCTCCAAGTGGGGGTGCCCCCGTGCACCTACCTTGGCTCTGTCCAGCGGGGTCGGAGCTCCGTGGGGTCTCCAGGTGCTACTTGGGTTGCTGAACACCCACAGAGAGGGGAGCTGGGCTCAGCAGTGGCCTGATCACGTCCGTTTTATAAAGCCAAGGTGACGTCTCCAGGCATAGGCCCACCTCTGCCTCCTCCCCGCCACCCCACCCCCCCAGACCCCTCAGAGAGCCCAGCGTTTGCTGCCTCCCACCGCCTGGCTCTCAGGACTGAAATCAGCCTCTTTCTCCCCCTCCAGAAGCCCTCCAAGGCTGGCTTTCTGATTCCCACTGGTCCTTCCATCCTCCTCACCCCCTTCGCCCCAGACCCACTTAGCGGGAGACCCATTCTGCCCCAAATGACATGGAAATGGATGAACTGAGGGGGAGGGGAAGGGGGGGCTCGTGCCCTCAGACAAGAGCCACAAGAGCACCCTGTGTGAAGGGAGCGTAATGAAGGGGGCGGAAGGGAGAGAAAGGCACAATCTGACCTAGGGGATGAAGAAAGCAAAATAAAGGGGCAGCTCTAGAAGGTGGGTGTCCTTGGGGAGTGCCCAGGAAACCCAGAGAGCTGACCTCCAGGTATAGCACCTGACGCACCTGACCCTGCTGCTCCCGGGCCCCCCTGCACGTCTCATGATCACACTGCTTTGGGATTGCTCTGTACTTTGCTCTGATAGCAGTGACCGGCCTCCTTTTGCACCCTCAGCACGCACCCCCGTGCTCAGTATAGATTCCGAGGGCCCTCACAGGGACTTACTAAATGCTGCACGCATTGCAAGGCACTCTTGTCTCCTTCCTGGGCCTGCGAGAACACTCTTTACCCTGGGCTGAGGGGCTCACCAGAACAGAGAATGTCTCCTCCATCAGACTTGGGCTCTCCGAGGGCAGGGGCAATGTCTCCACCCCTCAGACAGGAAGCTCTCTCAGCACAGGGGCTATCTGTGGGTGCCCTGTGCACACATCCATCTAATTAATAGTTGAGTAGCATTTCCCACCAGTATGCAGGATTAATACCCATCACTTGTCTGATGCCTACTGCTAACAGGGGTTTACAAACAGTATCTCACTCATTAGGACTGTTAACCACCAGGATAAAAATGATAGCTTCCGGGAGCAGGCCTGCCCCTCACTCCATGGAATGCCGTGCGTCGGCCTGCCCTGAGTCAGAGACTGGACTTGACAGGCTGGAGACAGTGACTTTGAGTCTCAGACACACAGCTTGGGGATTTAATCTTTGCTTTCCTCCCATAAATGCAGGGCAGGATGTGATACCAGCCCCAGTCCGGTCTCCGTGGGGCCCCCCCTGGATCTCTGCTCCCAACCATGCCAACAGCCTTTTGAGTTGACTTGGGGATTTGCAGTCAGTCATTCAACTCCATCCTTCCTTTTGGACTTGGAGAGGTCTGGGTATGATGCGGGAGATGAGTCAGTGCAGGGTGGGGGCGGACCCCATTTCCTTTCCAGCCCCCTCAACCAATGATCCAAGTTCAAGGAGCTCATCTCTGCTGTTCAGACCATTGATCTGGTGCCCTGAAGCCTCTGGAACAGCTGTGGGAGTGAAGAATCATTATTCCAGACAAAGAGTGAGGAGCACACTCGGTCTCTATCTAGGTTATTGTGGAGTGGGTCTTTAGAGCTGGGAGCGGTGCCAAGGGCAGATAGGGAGAGGGGGCCACAGGGATGAGCCAGCTGGCTGCAGGGCCGCCCCGAGCTTCTCCGAGAGCTGCCATTCTGTCAGAAAATACGCTTCAGAGAAAGGGAGGGGCAGCGGCTGGGGACAACTGCCCCATGCCTGCCCCCAGGAGAGAGCAGAATCTGCCACCCACCGCTGCTGTCATTGGCTGTCATACATCCTCTCCATGCCTGGGGCTGACTCAGCCAGCTCTCCAGAAATCCCTGGCACTTTCTGGCTGGGTCACCTAGACTCTCTGAATCTGTTTCTTTGGCTCTAATAAGGA